TTTGTTTTCTGTGCATCAGGATGAAATCAATTTATGATGCATGGTTCTGGTCATTCCATCTGTACCAGGTCTTGATTTGGCTTCGTCTGTGTTGGAAAAATGTGTTAGAAAATTCAGTCGTGCTCAGCGCATAGGTTTAGTATCATTTCTCCTTTGCTGTTGCAGTCTGTACCTTTATCACTGTGGGGTCCCAAGTACTCTTCCCAGGGGGTTCTTCGTTGTCCAGGTCTGCCATTTAGATTTCCCTATATAGATATATTTTCTTTGTTCTTAATGGTGTTAATGTGGTTGCTCAGGTCTTGGAAATATGATTGTCTATCTTCCTCTGTATAGCTGTCGTTACAAGGAGCATATGTTTGGATGTACGTTGTTGTTTTGCCTCCCTCTATAATTTTTATGCTCATTATTCTCTCTGAGATCTGGTTGATTTCATAGATTGTATCCATTTTTGCTGGGTGTATGATGAATGCTACATCCTGGTTCGGTTCTCTCATTTTCAGGTGTTTTGCTCCAGATCAGGAGGTAGCCTTTATGGGTCAGCTTGCTGTGGTTGCCTCTCTTCCTTATGTCTGACTAGCCCATGATTGCTGTTTTCTTTCTTTCCATGAAATTCACCATTTCTGGTTCTTTGTCTCCAAGTTCGCTGACATTCTATGCCTATTTTAATCGTTATTCTAGCTTGCTGTCCGTTTACTTTTCCTGGTCTTTTTTCCGTTTGAATCAGTCTTACTAAAACAAATTGGAGTAATGTCAAGAAGCTCTCTCAAGTTAGAGAAAAATAGAAAGTGTTTGTCAGTGGCTTATGCCCTGATCCAGGGGAAGAAAGGCGATGATGATGATGATGATGATGATGTCTTTTTCCATCTCACTGGTCCATTCCTGCTTCTTCCTGATGAAACATGTCATTGTTGTGTTGACGTGTTGGAAACTACTTCTGACTACAGCAACAACTTTTTAAAGTTTTGAGTCTTGTGCTTTTGTAGCTTTTTTGTCTTTTTGTTTTGTTTTGTTTTTATTTTAAAGGAGATGGCTCTTTATTTAGAGATCAAGCTCATAGTAATCTTAGATAATGGTGTAAAATTTGAAGGTTCTGTGTACGTGCAAAAACATTTTAGTAATTTAAAGTTGAAAAGGAACATGTAAATAAATTGATATTTACGATACTGTGCATGTTGTACTTGAAAATATGCATGAACACTATTGGAAAATCATTTTTTTAAAAGTTTCATGACAAATGAAATCAAGTGGAACATTTATTTCTTCCTATTTTCTTTCAGGCCCTGGACCTTGTAATGGAGAACACTGACCTTCCGAAGAAAGTTTTGACCAACACTACCAGGTTCAGAACCCGTATGAACGACGCTGGGTTCACTCTCTCTGTAAGTTTATGACGCTAAAAAATTTACTGTGGTGTAATGGTAAAGCCAGGCGTGAGTTATTGTGTCCGAGTTGTGGGCAGTATTAAGCTATTAAAAATATTATCTCTCTGGCAAAAGCAAGAGAAAATTATGGAGTAAAATTGGTTGAAATGCTAATGCTCTCAAAAGGGAGATTAAGACTGACACCATAGCATACATCACTCAAGGGCATATCATGAGATAAAAGATGTTAAATCTATTGCTATCAGCTGGGTTGGAAACTGTTGGTTTTAATTTTCAAGTGGGAAAATTTTGCTCAGACTAAAGTTAACTTCCTTTGTCATCTTTATTCTGGCAAAATGGTCTTGTAATAATAATGATATTAGCAACAATGATAATGATGATGATGATCATAATAATACTACTGATAATAATAATTATTATTATAATTCATAATGATAATAATAATGCTAATAATAGTGCAATAATTTTCATTGCTACTTTTATGATTATTTTTTACCTATATTCACAATCATCATAGTTGTTACATAACTACTATTGGTGCTACTGGAACCAATGGGGCTGTTTCCTTTGACCACACTGTCATTTTGTCGGAATCATGGTTGACCTAAACGTGGACAGCAATAGCCTCTTTGTTAATTGTCTCTTTCAGTGCAGTGTTGTGGATTTATGCGAAGTCTGTGTAACCTCCGTATGTACTTAACCTGCATGTCATCTTCTTCCATACTTCCGTATGGAATTGATGAGGGGGCTCTCATGGCCTAGAGGTAAAGGTGTTCGCCTCTCATTCAGTAGGTCCCGAGTTCGAATCCGGATAGGGACGGAAATTTTCTTCTGTAAAATAGTCTCCTTTCACCTCCTTTCCTGCTCTCTAGAAATGTTCTGTGGTCTGCTTTCACTTCCACTTTCAGCCCCCAGCCGTCTTTCAGCCACACACCTGATCTTATGGTAGGAAAGATCTACACCTAGCTTTCTTGGACAAGGGCGAAAATTCACGTTAAAGGTCCTCCCAGGCAAAATTTAAAATTTCTTACCAACTGAAAATGTTTAATGTGTCCCACATGCTCATATGACCTTATGCAGTTGCGAGCGCCATAAATACTTACCAAAAGAACAAACGAAAGGAATTAATGAAAGAGATGTTTTCTTTTTAAATATCCATTTGGTTCCCATGTCTTTTCTCGCTTCCACAGGGAGATCCAGAGCATCCAATCTGCCCGGTGATGTTGGGTGACGCCCGGCTGGCCAGTCAATTTGCTGACCAGATGTTAGGTAACTGGTTCTTTCTAAAATTGAAACAGTTAGAAGGGGCAAGATCATGAAAAGAGTAGAAAAGTGTTGGCATACCTACCTGTTTGTCTCTCTTTGTCTATCCATGTGTAAGACCACCCACCTGTCTATGCATTTGACAGTCTGTCTATCAGTCTAGGGGGGCTTTCCACACTTCTCCGGTGGAGAGCCTCCAGGCCGAGGCCAACATACCACCACTCTCACTCAGACGCACACAACTCTCACTACAATACGCAGTTAAACAGAGCTCAACACTGGAAAATCCAGCGCACCACAGCATTTTTAAAACAAACCCAGAAACCATAAACAAATTCCAAAACAATGAAAAACTCATCAAACCCTTCGGCCTTAGAATCCTTGAGGACCTCAAAAACTTACACTTTTCCAAACAAGACATCCAACAATTTTATTTTCCCCGACCTCCCTCCGTGGCACCTCACCAAGGCAAAAGTAGACTTACAGCTGACCACACACAGCAAAGAAAGCACAAACACCAAAACTTTTAAAGCAGAATACAAAAAAACTAATAGATAAATACCCCGGTGCAGAGCTCATCTTCAAGGATGGCTCCAAAAAAGACAATAAAGTGGGCGCCGCAGCCCTATCTCCCAACAATACACACAAGAGGAGACTCCATCCTGAAGCCTCCATTTTCTCTGCAGAGGCCACTGCCATTGACATGGTACTGGACTCCATAGAAAACTCTTCTAACAAATCTTTCCTTATCCTTTCTGACTCTCTGTCTTGCATCACCTCACTCGCAAACTACGCACTCCTACATCCAAAAATAGTTAGGCTACAACAGAAAATTCACACACTATCAGAGACAGGAAAAAACATCATGTTCGCATGGATACCTAGCCATGTGGGCATCCGAGGAAACGAGCAGGTAGACGACCAGGCGAAGAAAGCTTCATCCTTTCTGCTGGGATCATCAACACTCTCCCACAGACTGACTTTAGAAATAAAGTCAAAAAGTACATCTCCAGTCTGTGGGAGAGCCACTGGGAAAAACAGAAAAACAATAAACTATATGAAATAAAACCCAAACTAGAACAGCGAAATCCTTCGGACCTCTCCAGAAGAGACGAAGTCATTTTTACTCGATTGCGCATCGGACACACGACCCTGACCCACAAATACCACCTACAGGGAGATGAGAAGCCGTTCTGTGTCGGATGCGACACAGATTTTACCATTACACACATCTTAACCGAATGTCTAGACTTTGGAGAGATCTGAAGGAAATATTATAAATGCAAGAAATTGCAAGACATTTTTTCCGTCGTTGTTCCCAGCAGAATTTTGGGTTTTATGAAAGCCATTGGCCTTTATGGCAAATTGTAAAGTGAAATCGTACTATTAAAAATTTTTATTGTTATTTATAAGAGTTGTTTTAAATTGAAAATATATTTACACCAAATTTTAATATTTTAGCATTTTAAAGTCTTGAATACAGGAGTTCAAACCTCAGGCTCAACGTTAACCAATCGTGCAGTGAACTTTTGCGAAAGTAAACAACTTGTGTTTCGCGCGCTCATATGACTTTACGCAGTTGCGAGCGCCGTAAAACCCTATACTACTACTACTTTCAGTCTAGTTAGTTATCTGTCTATGCTTTAAACTACCTGTATATTTTGCCAATACCCCAAGCAGATCTGATGGCATTCTAAAACAATCTCAACTTACAGGGAACCATACAGTACAAATTGCCATTTTTACAGATGTTAAAATGCTAACATACTGACAAAATCTTTCATTGTCTATGACTGGGTTCCCATTCACATCTATGTGAAGTGAGGACATTTCAAATTAAGTGCCTTTCCCAAGGACACAACGTTGAGCCTGAGGTTTGAACTCCTGTATTCTCAACCACATGGTTTCGTCTCGTAGCCTAACCTCTAGACAACCAATGCCACACATGTTAAGTAGCGTGGTGAAATCTGGCGCTCATCAAAATAATGCGATCAACAAAATTGGCATTTTTCTGTCCGTGGGTCAATTATTAAAAATTTTATTATTTAAAAAAATTTTTTTTTTTAGCAACTTCTTTGTCCATTTAAGAACATATTTCTGTGTGGAATTTACTGTAAAACGTCGATCAAAGGCACAAAAATGTAAATTTGCAGTTTCCAAGGACACTCAAGCTTTGAAAGTGCCAGACTTTGGCGGCCATTTTCTCGCTATTTTTTACATTTAACACCAGGCTACCCTCACCTTTCAGTTGCAAATGACTTCTATTCAAGATAGATGTGTATTTTGTTTGCCAAGTGCAAGACACATGAATAAACTTTTGATGATACTAATAGCTGAATATGCCCAAACTTTGAGGAGCACCTGATTCCACCGCTTAATAACTCTTTTTTGTCAGGTATGTGGGTATTTAAGTGTCTGTAAACTATCTTCTTCTGGCACTGATGTTTTCCAGGGTACAAGAATGTTTGGGAATCTTACACGGTCTGTTGGGGTGCTAATACATTGGATAATAGTGTACAAGGATTAATTTTGAGCAGTGATATAATAATATGCAAGGAAAATGCCATCTAGTATTATTTTTATAAAAATTATTTTGCTTCTATTATCAATTTTATTATTATTATTATTTTCATTGCCATCTTTATTTTGATAAGTTCTATTTAATATGAAAAACCTGGCAAGCCTGTTATTGTTATATATATAATCAATTATTATTGTTGATACAGGAATTGAAGGGATTACATTGTTTATTCTTGTCTTATGTTTTTACAGAACGTGGAATCTACGTCATAGGTTTCAGTTTCCCAGTGGTGCCCAAAGGCAAGGCTCGTATCAGGGTGCAGATCTCAGCGTCCCACACGGAGCAGGATATTGACCGTGCTGTTGACGCCTTCATTGACATCGGCAGGAAGCTCAATGTCATCAACTAGGTCCTTCTGGATGAGGTCGTGTCTGAAAGCTCTTCTAGCGATGTATGGCTGAACAGATATTGATAATAATAATAATTATAAATAGCAGTTGTAGAGTGCAAATTCCTGCTCAACAACTAGCTCCATGTGCTTTACAATTTATATTGACTTGACAGACATTTGAGAGAATGGACTTTTTATTGAAAGAATTTTGTTTTCATCTAATGTTGAAAATAGGAATGCAGCCTGATCCATGAACACTCTCATGTTTGCTAAAACTTTTTCGAATAGACGACCACTATCTGAGATGTAATCTGTCACCTCTTTACCTTGTTATATGCATTTGGGTCTGAATCCCTGAAGGAGAGGATATCTTTTTGAACATCTCTTTTTCTCTGCTGGGATGTGTGCTATATGCTTCAGGTTGGTCCTGAAGCTGCATACTTCCAAAATGATTTAAATTGTGTTGATAGGGTTATTATGGAGTAGTACCATTTATTTTATGTTGATTTAAGTGTAAAAAAAAATCAGATATCCATTGCATCAAATGTCTGTCAAGTGTTTTGGAAGTTTAATATGTCATTTTGATCTCGTCTGTTATGTTTGTTAGTACCGTTTGTGCCATGTCATATATTTAAAAGTTCAACTGAAGAATCTCTGAGCTGTGAATGCAACAACTTACAGGGCTAGCAGTGCCATGTTATTAGATCAAAGCTGACAGCTGACAATTCTTATAACTGTTAGATATATTTGTAATGTTTTGAAGGCTATGTGTTATTTTTGTCTTTTCCTGAACATTTTTTTCTTTTTTGGCCTTAAATTGTGTTGCAAGTGATGTAAAACTTTTACTTATACCTCTGGCCTTATTAGATTAATTATCTAAAAACACCCCGTCTTCTCTCCAGCAAAGAGAAAGAGGGCTGTATGAATTACACATCATCAGGGTAGAGCCGAATGTGTGAACTCTGTTTGAACCTTCTAAGCATGCTTCTTCAGCTGTTGGGAGGAAAGCTTTGGATTTTGTTCTAGGAGTTTGTGTGGTGTGCTTCTTTGTAAGAATTTTATTTTTACACAGAATAGGGAGTTGGTTTGGATGGGCGAAAATGTTGACAGTTTTTTCTGATCAGGTCCTTTACATTCTTGTTCTATTCCGAGTGTTTTGATATTGGTGAGTTTTGGAAATGTACACATGGTGATGTATGAAAAATTAAGACTTAACATAATCTCAGTGTTATAATATGGCTGGATTATAGTTATATGTTTATTTTGAGATCTTGTGATATTGTTTTATATCTTTAAAAAAATGTTATTTTAGATGGAAGAATGATCTAAAAATATGTATTCTTTAGATACTTGAGTGTATAATTCTAAGCTGTGATCAAATCTTGCTTTTACAGCTGTTAAAGAGAATTCTAATTTCAGGAGGAAGTAAGGTTGCAGTTCATTTTTAAACTTTCTTGATGCCTTTGAGCATCTCCATCAAGTGAAGTTTGATAACAGTGATTCAAGAAATTTCCCCTAGGGCTTTAAGCAGTCAAGATTGTAAGTGGTAACATGCCAACGCTCAGCTCTTTTGCAAGAAAAAGGAAAAATATGATAAAGAAGCACTGAGAATGTGAACATTTGTCTGTTAGTATGTTTTCAATATACTCCTAGCACGAGTTACAGTTGGTTTGTCCTAGATATTGTAATTTGATACAGTATCAAAACTAAAATGTTGCAAGGAGCCGTACACTTTTTTGTTTACTTATTTCTCTCTCTTTATTGGCTCTGGATAAATTCGATTGACCAAGTTGTTGTATGGCTGTGCGATATAAGGTACATTCCACTTTGCTCGTGACTTTCTAAGGAGTCATTTTTTCTTATACTTTCTATCGTACTGTGGATGGGGTTCGTGTTTAAGATGACAACTCCGAAGGATGAAGAATCTCCTTTTTTAAGATTTACAGTACTCAAGGTTACTGTATGTTGTTTTTTTTGGATGATACACTGACCCTGACGCTGTCTTCCAAGACTGGCTTGATCTTATTGTTAAGAATCTTGTAATTTACTTGATTTACAGTATTTCAGTCGAAATTTTAGACGTTAAATTACATCTTTAATTTGCACGTTGCTCTGTTTTACAGACTGCGTAGGCCTATATTATATGTTTTATATTATATATACACTATAAATATCAAATGCATTCCTCCTAGAATGCGAAGATTGACTTGGAGCATTTATGTCTCATTTTGAGATGACTTAAGGGCATTGCAATGTGGTTTCTGCTACTTTTTCCAGACAAGTAATACCTACATTTCCTGCTCTTAACACCTTTTTTGATTTTTTCTCTATAATTAAAAATCTCATCACAGATATTCTCATTTCGTACTGATCCTATTGGGGATCATTTATCTGTGCGTTTTGCAGATTAGCCATACCCGGTACTTATGACTTTTGACCTTTACTGTTTTTTTATTTTTTTCTGAAGACTTTGCCTTCCTTTGAGATATTAATCTTTATTAGACTTTTAAACTCTCTGCGTTTAAAGTTGTTGGATCTAAAGTGTTATTTGTACCATTGTTCATTAGCAGTCTTTTGAAAAGAACAAGAAACAAAATGTATTTAAGAGACTCGTTGATAAGGAAAGAAATGTGAGGCAGCGTGGTGAAATCAGGTGCTCGTCAAAACAATCAAAGTGACCCCCCCGGGGACAGTGCTACTGACTGAAGTGTCTTTAGGCCATTCCCAAAGGGGGACATTATCATGTTTTTATGCACCCTAGAATTGTAAATGGGCTGATTCATCAATGTCATGCTCATAACTGTGCCTGAACCGCAACAGGGAACTGCTGTTTTTTTTCTTTCCTAATCTTTACTATCGTCATTTTTTCCTCTACTTTTATATATTTGTCACTCTCTTGTGACCCGCTATTGCGGGGGTGCCTTGATAGTTGAAGCAGACTTTGTGCTGTTGAAGTAAGAGAGGTGAGCAGAGTAAGCCTGATTCCCTGTATGGACTTCTCTGTTGACATCCACCCCTTGGCGCTCATATGACCTTATGCAGTTGTGAGCGCCGTAAAACCTCTACTAAAAAAACTAAATCAGTCAAAGTGAAGAAACTGGCATTTTCCGTAGGTTTTTGAATTTCTATCGGTATTTTGTTTTTTGACTTAACACCTTTCATGCTCTTTGAAGAAAACATTTCTGTGTGAATTTTACTGAGGCACAAAAGAATTTAATTTATCAGATTCCACAGACTTTCCAGCTAAGAAAATAACTTATCTTTGGGGCCATTTTCTCACGTATTTTACCTCTGAAGTCAAGGACCCCACCTCCTTTACTTTTTTTTCATCCAAAACAAGACAAATGAACAAACTTAAAGATGTTACCAATAACTCTACATGCCCCAAAATTGACGAGAGCCTGATTCCACTGCATCGTGACACAAATATTGTACTAATTTATTGATCCTTCATCAGAAGAAAGTAACAGCGTGCTTTATCCAGCTTCTGTGACTGAAAGCATAGCAGCATTAAACACAAGTTCAATCTCTCTGTCTCTTTTTCTCTCTTTGTCTTCCCCTCAGTCTGTCTGTCTGTCTGTCTGTCTGTCTGTCTGTCTGTCTGTCTGTCTGTCTGTCTGTCTGTCTGTCTGTCTGTGTGTCTGCCTGTCTGTCTCTCTCTCTCTTTTTCTCATTCTCTTGTGTATGTGTGAGAGAGAGAGAGAGAGAATTGTGGTACATGTACTGAATTACTTACTTTAACTTGGAACTTTTTCCTGCCATCCATGCTTTTCAGATTTGGGTAGCCCAGAACATCTGTAGCGGTCTGGATAGTAGCACTGTTCTTATATATTTACATCGTTTTCTTTTTATTTGTTTTTAAATATAAATTTTGAGAGAGGTTACTCATGCTAGGCAAAATGCTTTACTCCTAAATAGGTGTCAAGCTGTCTCGAATCTTTCAGCAACAAACAAATTATTTATCCTATCCTATTGGCATATTTTTACTTTTCTATGAAATGGACAGCTGAATACTTATCTTTATATTATTATATTGGTGGTTGGATGTAAACTGCTTTTACATTCCTATTGTATTTATTCTCTGCTTTATAGCTTTTGATTGTAGTGTTTTGTGCT